ATTCTCGATGTGTATGAGAACGGGCAGACACATTTTTTTTCAGTAAATATTCTGTATTACGAAGGTTGGTTATCAATATTACAGAAAGTGCCGAGGTGTGACGTAGCGTGAGTAATCCTTTAGTTGTGTGAAATTAGCTGTGAAAACATTCAGGCGGAATGGTTTGGGTCGGCGAGACGAACATCCCGTGGCGATACTACGTCCTCCTCGTTCCAGGGTAATTGCAAACCAAGTACATTTCCACTCTCTGTTCAGTTAATTTACAGATAGCGGAATCCCAGTAATTGTAACAGTCGCGCGGAATAGAAAGGGACATTCCTTTCCAAGGTGCTTGCTTGAAGGCAATATCATTGTAGCTTTCACGTCATTGGCCCTTTACTAACAGCTCGTATGCAATTACCAATATTACAAATCGTAATGTAAAAATAAGTCTCCGCACTAGCCTTTAATAAATGATTAAGCTTTCAAAGAATAATGTCGATAAATTGAAATGGAATTTTGACCACGGGTACCGAACACCGCGATGTAATGAAAATTACACACTCCATCTATGAGTGCATTACTGCAACATACGGTAGAGAGTGAAAACACCGCGCCCGTGTCTGTCTATGAGGGCATTGGCATCAATATGTGTAATAAGAGTTGTAGATTTTAGTGGTGATATTTGGTACTGTTACGTAATCCTAGCAGCTACACGTCTCTCTATAGTTAGTAGCTAAGGCATGCCCATTTTTTTTCTTTTTTTCTTGTATGTAAGTTTGTATTTATTAAATTTTCAACTTGTTTTGGAAAATAAATTCTACTATTAAAATAAGCTGAACACAGACTCAGACTCAGAGAAAGATAAATTTGCGCAAAGGTACAGGGTAAATTCTTCGCCATTCATGGGCAGGGAATACGTCGGAACTGGGGCATATTTCGCCAGTGTTTTAGGTGATAAGATGGCACTCCAATTCAGCCAGACAAATCAACATGGCTGATAGAATGTTACCATAAATGGCGTGTACACATATTGTTATGTGTTCAAGAAACGAGGGAATATTGCCCAATATATTACAAGGTCTGTGTCGAGTTACCTCAATTGTGAGTCCTTCTACATTAACAAATGATTGTCATTCATTTAGTGGGCAATTTATCATTGAACTGCCTAAACATTTACATCTCTCGTCTCACATGCTAGAGCACGAATGCGAAACATGAAACGACACGTGCCACCAATTTACCATTGTTTGCTCTAAATGGAGGTTTGTAAAATTGTAAAACCAGGAAAGAAAACAGCAATCGCATTTTCGGAGATACGGATCGTCTCCTTCCCAACCACTCATTCATAATGTACGCGGAAATTAAAAAATATATATATATTTATTGAATTTTTTACCGGTCGATACATAAAACATCAGCCCCTGCCTGCAAGATGCATAGAGCGATGACACAATCATGTTTTTGTTTTTTTTTTAATCCGAACAATATTCCGAAACTTGGGATGTCAAAATCAGTGACTCGCGCGACGTGCGAAGCATACGTGAGCGAAACTTGAATTTTCAGTAGAGAAAGTTCTGCTTAGACTCAGACAATACGCGTAAGGGTGCACGTAATAGCAGTAAGCCTACCTAGTTTACTCAAGAAAGTCATTGAAAGTTTCACGTTAAGAAGTGAAACAAAAAAAAAACATAATACATTTTATAAATTCATAAAACGGCGCATTTACCGAGCTGTAGCTTTATTAAAATGAAATACACTATCCATCTCCCAAGACAGTCGTTCAGTGTGTTTCGTGGGTGTGGGAATTATAACATAATTTGCATAAATTTGCATATCACGGATACAGATCACTTAGCACAAGCGGGAATGACCATTCTCTGAAAATTAACTGATCTCACTGATTGGAAAGAATGAAATCCTAGTTGATTAAATTTGTGGCGTGATAGCTTTGATGAATTGTATGCAGTCCATATAAACGGTAGGCGATCCTAGTAATTTATCTTGCCAATGGACGTATCATTGCGTGCCAACCAATGACCTTGTTTGCGGAGCCATTTACTGGCCCATTGCTCAAAATAATGATACATCGACTAGCGAGATTGTGAGAACCGTAATTGTCTCGGGAAATTCTAATTAGTATCGCTGTCCCCAAATCGTGAATGTCACATTAGCAGATTAATGTAGTTTTTCAAATTACGTCTATTCAACATGCAGGATACCCCCTCGTTATGTCGCGTGATGAATGAGGTTGAAACTAATTCCAGTCCCCATATAACGAATGATATGATTCAACGATGAGCGTTCTCAGCTTAAAATCTTTTCGGTGGCAAATCCAAGACTCAAACAAAACAATCAGCTATAGTTTTAGCTTGCGAGATTGACGGTTAAATGGTTGTCCTGGCCGGTAATTCTATATGTAAAAAGCAACGCTCAGGGATCCTTCGCATCTGCCTCCAGTTAGAAGCTGGTCCTTGATTTGCATGTATTATGCGCTAGATTGGTAATACTTTTCCGATAGCTTAGAGTTGATTTCCGGTTAGATGGGTTCAGGTGGTCTAGAGTATTCCATTTATATTTATCGCATTCAGTGTGTGTTGTCACAGAGTTCAGAGAGAGCAGCGGCGGAAAAATGCGGCTCTTACGACTCATCTAACGTGTCTGATTAGGTTACATGCGTTATGTCATGGTAACACATGGCAACAGTCGGCAACGATGAAGAGTTAATTGTAATTTTAAGAGAAAACAAAAACATAATATGCGATGCATTTGTTCTAAAAATAACACGGTTTCGGGGAAGGGTATGAACCGATGTTGCTTGATTAAATATACGATACTGTAAACATTGGGACATCACGTGAGAACTCACATCACCTCCATTGGCTGTGGTTTCGAGTATTCGCACATTGAGTCATTGTTAATGTAACAACTACTACTCATCTCGATGGTTATGAATTCCTGTGTTTGTTCTTTAATGTTGTATTTATACAAATTGAATATTAAATGCCTTTTCGCAATATCAAGTATGGCATTATGGGATTAAAGAACTGTTATAATATCAACAGTGAACGAGCGTAAACGCATTGTCGCCGCCAACATTTCACAACAAGTTTGCAATTTTGTGATTGCAATAAATTATTCAAAAAAAAATTTAAAACATGAAAAAATGATATCCCCAATACTGAACAGTTTGGTTTGTTATGATCTTGTAACCATGCAGTGATTCCAGATTATTCCAAAAAAAACACTACCCTGTTCTCATCCCCATCTATCAATGGATTTTATGGAAATGTATCTTAATTGGAAAATTCTATCCCACATTAAAGCGTTTGTGACTGGCGACTCCCACTCGGCGTTGACACCCTCTTTCTATTATATACGAAATAACCAACAATTGTTGGTATACTTGCTAATGGTGCCTGCTGATTACTGCATTTTCATTATATTGGTGTATACCCCCCCCCCATTCGTCTGAAAGTCGTCCTGTTGGGAGTATGGCGTGTCGTCGGGGGCGTTATCAAAAACCATGTGGAAGTACTCATACTAACTGTTTGAAACATGTTTTCTGGCGAAGATTATGCTAACTTTGCACCAAAATTATAAAGTAACATCACAATTGTATTTCGTATATATTCAAGGCTGTGTACGACAAAATAAAGAACGGTACCACATACGGATTGTCAGTTGAATAATATCGCGTAGCACCACGTATCGTAGTTTGCGTCATAATAAATTTTGCAGCCATCTTTTCCTCTTATACACCCGGAGCCGAGATTTAACAATTAGCGGATTACTGCAGTATGACCGGATATAATAAATAGTTTTATATACATTCCACCGGGGTATAGTGCGATGACTTCCCGTGTTACAGTGGTCGAGTTAACTATACCCCTTAACCGATGATTTAAACTTCACCCCTCTACATAGTCGAATAAATGATAATAATAGTATATCAGTAGCCGGTTCTGATTGGACAGCAACATGTTATGATAATAATAGCAAGTCAGTAGCCGGTTCTGATTGGACAGCAGCATGTTATGATAATAATAGCATATCAGTAGCCGGTTCTGATTGGACAGCAACATGTTATGATAATAATAGCATATCAGTAGCCGGTTCTGATTGGACAGCAGCATGTTATGATAATAATAATCAGAAGCCGGTTCTGATTGGACAGCAGCATGTTATAATAATAATAATCAGAAGCCGGTTCTGATTGGACAGCAGTATGTTATAATAATAATAATCAGAAGCCGGTTCTGATTGGACAGCAGCATGTTATAATAATAATAATCAGAAGCCGGTTCTGATTGGACAGCAATACGTTATAATAATAATAGCAAGTCAGTAGCCGGTTCTGATTGGACAGCAGCATGTTATGATAACAATAATCAGAAGCCGGTTCTGATTGGACAGCAGCATGTTATGATAATAATAGCAAGTCAGTAGCCGGTTCTGATTGGACAGCAATACGTTATGATAATAATAATCAGAAGCCGGTTCTGATTGGACAGCAATACGTTATGATAATAATAGCAATTCAGTAGCTGGTTCTGATTGGACAGCAATATGTTACTATTACCATTCGAACTACATACAATGTAGTTGATCATAGTGGCAATTCAAGCGAAACAACATTATCAGTGACAGTTTTCCATTCCAGAAATACACCTCTATACCGATTTTGAAGTACTAGTACGTGGAAGCATGTATAAAACATTGGTATAAAACATAGATGCAACGTGACGATATGGTGGAAATGATAGTATACCTATTAATGTTGTCGCTCGGGATATTGGGAAAACTATTGACCTATAGTATAATGTAGAACACATTTATATACCTATTTTTTAAGTCTCTTATGGGACAGTTTCGAAAACGCTTAACGAGTAATATATCAATGTAAGCCGGATACTGGTACATATTTTACGAATCAGGATTGTGCACAGGTGTAATGTACCAGAAAAATGTAAAAATATGGAAGAACAGAATTAACAATTGCCCATTTATTTGTCACTTACCTTCTTGTAAACTGTTGGACACACATGCCTGAGTCTGTTCGTGGACGGCCCCGGTCTGGGTGATGCTTACGTACTTAAAGCAGTACCCGACTATGGTAGAATCCAAATCAAACGCTTCGCATGTGAAGTCAACCGACTCGGCGTCCGCTGACACTCTCCGCTCCGATGAGTATTCCAGTTGTGGCGCCAGATGCTCCGAGTGGATCCTCTGTGCGAATGCCCGAATTTTGTCATCTGAACTTTTACAAGCTGGTGTAGTGTAGCCGACGGTGATGGCGTAATCGCATGGAAAAATTGTCGGCATTTGCATATGTATGTGATAATTGTCGCTCCATTGTACCTGAAGAAACGAGCTTATGGCGATCACAGATTCGTTACTGACGTAATCCCCGTATGATGACAGCATGACGAATTGATACAACCCAGCCCTGTCAAAATATTTACACTCAAACTCAGCATTGCCGACACGCTGTATTTGACCAGTGTTGTACTGCGCAACGGGTGTACCGTACTGCTCAGCTGTTGAGTGATTCGTCCCCACGTATTCCACAATAACAATAGTCTCATACCGATTATAATTCAAAACTCCACAGACAGGGGTACGGACGCGCATGGTTGCCGTGACACCCGTCGTCATAGCAACGTGCGTCCTATCGTGAATAAACTCCACAGATGGCCATTGCACGTCAATGGTGCAGCTTTGGCCGAGCAAGGTATAATCCTCGTCGTAAAGACGGAATTCGAAGATCCCAACATGATCGAACAGGCTACAGTCGTATATCAAGAATCCATGAGTTTGCGCGGGAAGATCTTTCCTGTTGCGTTCCTCGTTTTGCGCAACATCGTAGAGTTGCACAAATCCGTTCTCTACTTCTCCCGAGAGTGTATACTCCAAGCTAATGTCCGTTGAGAGCGCCACGTGTAATGCGGGACAGTCCAAGCGGTACTGGGTGGCTTCTGCATTTAGTCCATCTTGAAAAGAGTAGATAACGGAGTAAACAAAACAAAAGTTGGAGGAAAATGGTATTATGTAGGAATGTGGCAACAAAACATAAAGATTATTAGCTGTAAAACAACATAACCATGCTGAGATTGGTTTAAGTTTTTCTTAGAAAGGAACTATTTGACGCTCGTGTTACTTGCCAGTAGTTGAATTTTTAATCAGCATACATACGATCCGTGATTTTGACTATTTTAAAAAATATTTATAAGATATTCGCAAACATAATCATCAATGAAATGATAACAACGAACTGATCTAATTACTGACGTTGACTGATATTTATTTTTCGAATTAATAAACAAATTGTTGACAAAACTGTATTCAGGACTTCACGATCGCGTAGCAACGCTGAAAGAACACAGGAAGTGACGTACTGTTTTTAAATTTAAGCATGGGATTTATGATTTATCAGAATGAAATGAACTTGTTATCAATATGGCGGATTCTATTTACGGGAGAAAACACTATGTTCGTTCCAATAACATGTGCCTGGCTTCGAATTTCGATTTGTGCCCGAATATGATAATATATGGTTTGTCGCGACGGTAATATTTTTACGCTTGCACAGAATCTCCCAACACACAATAAGAGTTCGCGTTTAATTCAAATTTTGCACTCTGAGCATATGTTCAATGCAATATGGCAGAGAATTTCTCAATGAATATACTAACCGAAAACAGAAACCAAAATATAAATGCAAAATTTGACATTTAACATGATGACACTTTGAATTCTTGTTTCTCGACGAATTGCCTGAATCCCCAGACTGAACACATACCGAACGTATTCTCGGTTCGAAACTCCGTAAATGGAAATTATTAGAAAATATATCATTGTTTGTTGTTATGAATTTAAATGCCAATGTCAATTTTCACATTTCACTCAAGTTTGTTTTCGAAGATGAGTGAGGCCATCCCCACGGCGACGAGTTAGGAGTTACCACTTTTTACTACAAACTGTAGTCTGTACATTCTCTTGGTTTGTTTGGTCAGAATTTATCAGCACAGTCACTCGACTATGACGTAACTAAACCTTAGTTTTCAAGGCTCCCCACTTTCCAAGATTGGCTGCTACTCTCACGGGCCGCGATAGCGAGCGATTATATATTTATTTTGTATAAAGATATGAAAGTCAATTCTTATCTAAAGGTCTTTGCACGGGGGGGGGGTGGTCGGTTATGTCAAATAATATGATGCATGTGGTCCATAGCCAGTATTCATATGACAATGATACATTAAACCGTCTGCTCGATTGGAATACTAGAAAGCCATCAAGGCCTTCGTATCATACGGAAATAACTGACTGGCACACTGACAAATCGTCACAATCGGGAGCACCACGCCGACACCTTTGCACAGACATACACAATTCTCACAAAAGTTAGAGTCATAGGAAAGGTCATTCAACTACACACGCCCTAATCTCGTTTTACGGACACCATTATACATGTAACTGAGGGTAGATAAAAACAACCTCTAACTATGTAACTATTTAAAGCAAGTTTCTTGTTGTCGACAACAGATTCGCAGCGCTGTCCTTTTGTTCCGATCCTACACAAAAATCCGGCTCAGGGCTATATAAACCAGTGATGCATTGAAACCTCCCTATAACCCGAACAGTTTTTGAATAAACGCGTAGAGTCTAGGTTTGAGTAAGTATAGTGTTCGCCGAGCTTGATTCAGTCAGTGATGTGTACCGACGCACTGGCTGTAGACAAATAAACAGACGACGTGTACGCGAGTTAACTTGACAAGGCAAGACATGTTGTAATAATCTCCCTCAAATTTGAAATCGATAACTTTTCATAATAACAACATGTCTGCCGTCAATTATTGAACGGTGGGGGTTCCACAATGTCATCTCGTACGCACACTCGCCTGTCGATGATAATAACAGTTTCCACTCAGTTTTATCAGCGGGGCTGGGTCAACAGAAAAACACGCAATTTTTCCTCGATAATTGCAGAGGTTTCGTTCTCAGGGCCCTCGTGATACCTCGTAATCGAGCTAATTACTGTCCGTTGTTGGAGTGCCAATTGAAAAGACGAACACACTGGAAATATTTGTCCGGATTATAGCGGGCTATTTTTAGAACTGACGATCTACTGAGTAAGAATGAAACGTTATTTTAACAAACAGTGGTCGGTTGTGAGTACCCCAGCTTTTTTGTAGTATATAATTAATACCATAGAGTCGAGTATCTGATCCGATATTCAGTGCAATATTGCAAACATTTAACCGGCTGGGAATACTCGAACCAGTGACGGTAATATTTCTCGCTGATACCGAGCGAGCCCAAGTTATCATTCGCGCTAATTGATATCAGTACTTTCACATGGGCGTTTTATAGGACACCATCGGGTTAAAGGCTATGATTGGCTGAATTTAACGGAACAAACATTGTCTACTGTCCATAGGTCCCTCCTCTAGGTGACCTGAATACGGCGCTCCAAAATGGACGACGCGAAGGTCACACCAGATGATGTTAATAAATGGCGGTCGTATTTTTTGTTTTGTTTTAATGTACGTAGTTCATATTTAGTAGTTTTAGAAACTTTACCACTTTTCGACAAGCAACAGGCATTGTATTTGTAAACAGACTGAGTGAAGTTGCATGGATCTATTTGTATAACGGGCACAGAAATAACAATTCAAGGCCTACCTTGCGATCGCAGTATCAATACTACGACGAGACATCTTATCAGGTTACGCATCAAACCATGGTATCCGTTCATGTCCTCCCCTGAAAAACACCATCACTGTAGAGGGGAAAAAATAACATAGAAGTTGGTTAAAACTTGTTGCTTGACCACCGACGTCGTCTAACTAATAAATGACATGGCTACCATCAGCGAGCCGAGTTGTACACGGCGGAAGTTGTGCTTTGTTTGCCGTTGATTCCAGTCTAAGTGGGGTAGGAAGCAGTTATACCAGTAAATACGTATGTCTGCCGCGCACACGGTGGTGTGTTTCGGGACAGTTTAAAGCCATATAAGTAAGAGACGGATATACCTTTGTCAAGTACAGCTACATGTAACGATCATTATCTCTAATTTGACCCTGAATGACCCACAATGCACAAATAACGGAGCTTTGTAGGGGGTTCCAAAATGACCCCGTTGAATACTGCACACGGACCAGACATCAATACAGCGCTTCCATTAATTGTTAATGCATAGGATAAGTGGCATTGCTAAAGCTCCCTAGGTGAACGATTCAAAATAATATTTCCCGCGGAGGTTATGAATATTCTTTATCTCAGTTTTGCATTTGCAACGAATAAAACAAACTTTGTATGGAAAATATTAATTTTAACGAAATAAATGGTGCAACAAATGGCCATTTGAGCGTAGTGATTTCAATCGATTATTTTACTCGTGATTGCCCGGGTTTAATCCGAATCAATCTCATACAAAGGAAGAATTCGGAGTTCAAGGGCCGGTCCACAGTTGATAATGGAACAATTACTGAATAATGACCACCTATTTGTGAAAGCTCTACAAAAAACCTCTTTGAATTTTCAAATTACAATGCCAGTGGCTATTGACAAGCAGCTCGGGTCGTCATACCACTGACATTCCGACGGATCTAAGGAGGGTTATAGCATTCCCCGCTACGAGTGTTTGACAAGGCAATGGGTCACAACGCCGATGCTGTAACTTTGTGTCAGCAGTACCGCCAATATAGCGTGACCTATTTCATCTAGGGAGAGGTGTATGCCAGTCTACCGTGTCGGCTCTATGCAGTTATAACAGTGGCGTGTTTGGTCGGCTGGATGCATTCACTGAGAGCGGCGGCTTTGTAAACGTTAACGAAGCGAACTGACAATGTTAGGAAACTAATTATAAACCACAAGTATAGGCACATCTCCTTGAGATTTACATGAGACATTTATACAAGGTTTCTTAAAGTTTTAACATTATTATTTCAGGGAATCGTAACACTGGCTATCGATGCGTTAACATCGTCCGTGATTTTATGTATGAATCACGGTTACTCGATTCGATATCAATACATCAGTTCTCGGCTAGTGCTGCGGGATTTGAGGCATTTTCATCATACTAGTGAGGTATTGTGACAGTAAATTTAAACTTGAGCTACGTATCTACACCACGACAGAATAAAAAATACACGTTTTCATAGATGAAACGGCTTTTACTGGCGCCAAAGTTGTTTTTAAATAACACACTGGTCAGTTTATCGAAACTACGGAACCCCTTATAATAAACGCCCTCTAGAGTTGGGCCACCCACACCGGGAAGACGGGATCATTCAGATTTGAATGAATGGTCGAATTCCAAAATATGGTCGAATACGACTAAACAATAACGGTGTGCCCAGTCAATGCTAAGAAAAACTGTGTCTATGCCTGAGACATTTCAAAAATATGTCGTGGTGACAAACCCTTTTTCTATTTTTTTCTATTTTTGACAGAAACCAGATAAACGGTCGTGAGCGGTATCCTTTAAACTGACGCGCGCGCTGACCAGAAACAAATAATTCTATATTTTCGTCCTAAAAAACTAAGATAAAGATTTAAAAAAATAAGATAAAGAGAGCCCGAGTATATCAGAACCGATTTTATTTCAATCAACTACGACCTGTCCATGTTATCCCAACACCTGGACACAATCATCAGAATCGATTGGCGAGAGTTTGAATCTATCGCTCGTAGCGTAAACATGCGTTAATGAGTTCTATGTACAGTATGAGGCGGCACTAAGGCAGAATAAATCAAACATGTCAGCTGTCACCGATACCATTGATAATGATCAACTTATCAAGGTGTGAAGCAACCAGACTCAATTAAAAATGCGGGGAAATAGCAAGATGAATGTCGAAGAAGACATTCCATTTATTACTAATTTAGACTTCATATCATGTCAGGCGATCATTTCCATAGATTTTAAACAATGAGTGACACGGGGTAATTAAAATGCAATAAATAGCATACGCATCGCATCGTAGAAATATTAGTCTAAAAGTAAATATATTACATGCAATGATGTGTTAGTCCCTTTTTATGTGTGTATTATCGTCATTTGGTCAGTACATGCATGGGGTTCAAGATGATGATATATTCGTGTGAACCCCGATGTGTTGAGTTCAGCTCGCTGTCAATTGTTTAACACATCTCTGACTCACGGTCGCATTATTCTGACTTTCATATCGTTTCCGTGAATAACTAGAGAATTGTTTCACTTCCTTTTGAGTCATCATTTTTATCAATATAATTTGTAATTTTTCAATCAAGTCAAACTAACCAATGTTAATCGATATTTAACCTGATATATATAAGATATGAAAATAAAATAACAATGTACAGTTGTACACCCCTACTCTATAAAGTGCAAGATTTCTGACAAGACGTAATGCGAAAGTAAATGCATACCGGACAATTTCAAGCAAGAGATATGGGTCGTGCCAGATTTTGTTAATATATATATTATGATTACTATATTTGACAGTTCTTTGATGTAGTAAAACTTCCCGAATAATCTTCAAAACAAGTGAATCCAATATGTATGCCAGGAGGCCAGAGCTTGGGAATGTCATATGTTGTTACAATGTTCTCCAGTACGAACTGATTTTTTTAATGTGTTCTAAATTTAACCAAAAATACACAAAAAAGGCATTTTACTCATCATGGTAGCTTACCTGCGGGACAACTGTCTAGAAAATGAAAAAAATAAAAAGTATGTCTAGACTGTGAAATCGTCGGTAGAGGCAAAACATTAATTACCATCATGTATTAAAAAACAAAGTCGTGACACAGTAGGTAATACATTGGAGAGGCGGGGGGGGGGAGTTGTATTCAAAAGACGAATTCCGCGTTTGTGTCACGGTCATAATAAAAGTTGCGATTTGAAATAAAAGCTTTAAAAAATGCAAACGTAAATTATGGGATTTCGAGATTGTTGTTGATTGAAGTTGTTGTTTAAATGATTCAAACAGCACTCATGTATGTTCTCCACTGTAATTTAATAGTGATTCAACCGGCGACATAAGCTCTAACAAATCAAAGTACAATTTTGTGGAAGGGGGCGTCTAATGTTACATGGAACGCCTTCAATTTTCGAAGAAAATTGACTAATTACACACACCTCTAAACCACCATGTACTTATAACGAGTACGTAGAGAGAGTATATTAACAAGACTTACTCAAACATAATGGTACAAAGGCGTTTTGAAAACACTCACAGCAATCACGAAGCTATGCTCAAATCGATACTGATTGTTGAACTATGGGTGCATTACGTTTTTTCAAGATTGCTGATGAATTTACATTCTACTACTACACACATAAATAATAATGGCTTATTATGTTGTAATTGTATAGGTAACACGCATTGCATGCGTAAAAGCTTATTTGACCCGCTTTCACGGCATTTTAAGCTACACGCCGCTGAAGGCGTCAAGGAGAATAACTGCATTTGTGTTATCATCTCTTCGAAGAACACAAATCGTTGGGCATTGTCATCTGATTCACGGTGGCTGTGCGCATACATGCATCTGGGACACCCGGACAGGCCGTCACAACATGTACCGACGTATGAGGAGAATTCGTTGAATTTCGACTAAATTGTCAGAAGGTCTAAACAGTTTGTGACCTTAGATTCATTTTTTTGAATTCATATTATTCTTGGTGGTTGCTTTATTATTTTCTCTATGTTTTCCCAGATATTCTGCACGCCCTGGTCCAGGACCTGTCACGTGACACGTTTAGGTGGGAGTTGAACATCACTTCCGCATTATATGCAATGTTATCATAGTATGAGTGCTTCAAATATTTCTGAGTTGATCTCAGAATATTTTCTTCTACCCTTAACATTTTCTAAGTGCCACTACATCGAACATGAGTGTGTTTAGTGACGTAAAGTCACACTCGTATATACAGTTTTCACTTGTGTGCCGAGAGCCAACGTAGAAATGAAACATCCTCTTACACTACACTATAAAACATCCAATTTATTATATAGTTAATTTGGGAATGATGTTGTCATGGTCACGGGGGAGTGTGTATCTCCCCCAAAATGAACGGTATAAATTCGACAGAAGTAACAGGAATCTAGAGAGATGTTGGGAACTGGTCATAACTAACGTAAAATCCTTGAAATATCCCGAATTAGATTATATTTCAATTGGTAGGTCCTTCTCAATTTTGTGTTAGTATTATTAGAGAATTTTCCATAATACAATGTACTAATGCGTGGCTACTAATAGTAATATGAACTTCATCACCGTGTTAGAATTATAAGGCAGAATTTTCAAAAATATGAAACGGATGACGGTTGTTACTTTCTTTGCAACGAAGGAAGTGAAATCATTAATTTAAAGTTCAGACAAGTATACCTTACAGAACAAGAATCGTACGTACACAAGATGAAATCGATAAATGAGGCACATTAGTACATTTCACAATGACAGCGGGTTATTTTACTTGAACATCGAAATACCACTATGGAAAGCAAAACAGACATTTTGACATAGAAACCGCAATGCCAAGGATAAGTCAGTATATGCCGCCGCGAAGAAAGAATAGAAATAGCTATTTTAATCATCGTGTGTGTGCATACATTTGGAAATTCTCAAATCGCTCGTTTATCCTCTTTCCACAAAGGCAGATGTGAAACATCTACTGAGAAAATCTCCCTCGTAAAAACAACACGAACAATACGAAAAACAGTATGATAATAAAATATTCATTAATAACCACGTGATATATCCGGCCATTGCCCAGAGGCAACAATAGAAACACGGCGATTCAAAGAAGTAGAATTATAAATAGTAATGTAAAATGGTAAAAAAAAATACATCTTGTGATGATGAGATATTCCCAGTTGGCTTTAAATTATACAGCCCCGTAAAGACGACTGCAAGAAAATTCTCAATACATCGTAAACTACGCAGCATTTCTACAGGAAACGACGCCATCTTGGGTGTGGCATGTATGTTTTATTCTAATAGGGGTTCATGAACGGTTCTCTAGTTTCTAGTCATAATCCTCTGGTTTCAATAGTAATTTTTCATCGAAAATGATAAATAAATAAATAGTTAATTGGGCACTTATTTGAAGTCAATTAATTTTGTTGACACTTGGGATGAACTGATATCGATGTCCTTTTCATGTTTAATTAGGAATCACACACACTTAATTGA